AGGAGCTGGCCCAAGTTGCTGGGGAGAGGGAAGTCTGGGCCTCCCTACTTAGGCTGCTACCCCCATGGATGGATGGAAGTAAACACTTGATTCAATAACTATTTTAGAGCTAATGGCACAACAAGAAGTAACCTGATCAACAGCTGATTCAATGAATTAAAAATATTATATATTCAAAGGTGACGATTTGATGCCCAAATTAAAATTAAATGCCTGTAACTTAGTTGACTTCAAATGCAATAAGATTATCAATGAATGTTTGCAACAAAGGATTTACTGATTATAACAAAGATTCCTTCAAGAAACCTCCCAATATAAATCATAAAACCAGAATGATTTCTGCTCATTCTAAATTTGTCAAATGGCCTAAATCTCCTGGAGGGGAAGAAGAATGATTTTAAAATAATAAATAAGATATGTCCTGTAGCCATGTTTCTTGAAAGAAAATTTAAATTTGATGTTGATTTGTGTGCCTTTTGTAAATCAGAAGATGAATCCCTCTACCAATTTTTTTAATGTCAATACAAAGTCTTTGGTCAGACATCAGAAACTGGATTAATCTCAAACTTAACATTCCTTCTTTTCATGCTGATGACATTTTACTTTATGTGGATAACTAAAACTTAGCTTTTTCTGATGCCATAAATATAGTCGTACTTATAGCAAAGTACCACATTAACTGTAGTAAGAGGAGGGATAATAAGCCCTCCTTCCAGTTTGATGAACGATTTTAAGTCATACTATTCTTCATTAAGTAGATTAAAAAACTGCAAAACTGCTAAAATCATTTCACAACTGATACAAACTTACTGTTTTAATTAAAACAATGTTTCTCAAGAAAAAAAACTGATGAGCTTGTCAGAAGGGAAGGGGAGTTTACCTTCGGGACAAATTGAGGTTGTCGATTGGTCAGTTACTGACATGCCTTCTGAGTTGATTGACAGGTCGTACCATCGAGGATCTGGTTGATTAAAGAAAAAAACCCAAGAGCTGCAGCAGCGGCGTTGGGAGGAGGCGGTGCTGCCCAAATGCAGTGGAAATGCAGCAGTTTCTCTTTGCAGCGCAGGGCTTCAAGTAAAGCAGGAGACGACCAGATCTTTTGCTTGTGCCCTCACTGCCCTGGGCCCCTTAGAGATCATGGGCCCCTGGGCACAGTTGCTCAGTTGCCCATATGGTTAATCCAGCCTTGCTCTTTGTGCTACGTGGGTTTTCTCCGGGTACTCCAGTTTCCTCCCACAGACCAAAAACGTTGGTTATGTACTGTAACCCCAGATTCTATGAGTATAGGCGTAGCCCTTTAAGACTGTCGCTGATGGGTTTTATCCCGATGTGCAAAGCATCACACTTAAAAATTTAGTCCACACCCACCTGCTGTGTGGGCCCCACCCAGTTCGTAGAAATTACGTTAAGAGCGGGAAATCGGCTCCCAAATAGCTTTTTTTCTTCAGCCACTTAGGAGCCAGTGAGGCCCGACGCTTAAATGGCTATGCCTATATTCATAGAATCTGGGGTTACAGTACATAACCAACATTCTATTTCATATAGGCTTCGCCCTTTAAGGCTGTCGCTTAGTGGGTTAAGGGCGAAGCAGATGTGGTCCTCGCCTCACTGGGTCCATTCGAACACAGTATGAAGCAGTAGCTTGCCCAAAAACATCTTGTCGCTCAGCTCTCCATGTACATAATTACGCGTTGCGTAATTATTTGTACCATGCACAGATGCATGCTGTGTAAATTAGGGATGCGCCGATCCACTTTTTTTACTTCCGATCCGATACCGATACCGAGTTCTGGGTATTGTCCGATACCGATACTATTCCAATACTGTTCAGGTATAAGAGGCTGTAGTAATCTCCTCTCTACAGACATACACAAATTATATAAATATATACATGCATGTCCAAAAAGGCAACTTGAGATAAGTTTTATTAATGTTGGCTAAGTTTCAAAGTTAGAATTAAATCCTGCTAACACAAAACATGTTTTTTTATTCCTTGCTTTAAAGTGGATATTAGTGATTAAATGGCTACTCTGCTTTTGAACCTCATAATTCACCATATTAAAGTTTAGAAGTTAAATTCCATAATCTTTTTGTGTTGTCAATTCAAAGCTATTCATTCTTCAGCTGTATTCATCATTTTTGATCAGTTATACTTATCACTTCAGGCAGTCCTACTGCCCAGGAGGACCGAGAGCCCTCTGACAGCAATCAATCAACCTTTACTTATACAGGTAAATCCCATTGAGCCTCGAGGACTCATTTACAAGAGAGACCTGATTTCAACAAAGAAAGATGACAACAATGGACAACAGCAGCAACAATAAACAGTTATAAAAAAAGCATACTACAGTTTTTTTTTTTTTTTTTTTTTTAACAAATAGGATGGCTAAAAGGAAAAGGTAACAAAACAAAAAACAGCTAGATTCCAAGACAAATGTAGAAAACTAACAACAGGAACATGTCAGCATTGGACCCTGCCAGGTGTCCAACAGATTCTTAAAGACACTTAGAGAGGTCAAGGTCGAGAGCTTCAGATCTTTTTGCACGATATTCCAGGAAACAGGAGCGGAATAGGAGAAGGCCCTTTTGTCTAGTTCAGTCCTCATTGAGGGAACACTGCAGGTAATAATGTCCTGAGAGCGCACTCCGTAGCTGCACTCACGCAGAGACATGTAGGAGGAGATGTATGAAGGCAGCAGACCAAGAAGTGATTTAAAGATGAAAATATACCAGTGAGAGAGTCTGCGTGAAGTTAATGATGTCCAGTTAACCAGTGAATACAGGGTGCAGTGGTAGGTACGATAATCACAGCCAGTTATGAATTTTAGTGCACCATGATAGACAGCATCCAACATCTGCAGGGTTCTTGTAGGAGCGTTCATGTAAATAATGTCACCATAATCAATTGAGGGAAGGAAAGTCACAGATACAAGGTGTTTTCTAGCATTCAGGATCTGTTTCTGAAAAAGAAACCCAGTTTAACTTTCAGTTTCTTTACCAAGTTTTCCACATGGAGCTTAAAAGAGAGATATGCTGGTGAAGATTCTCAGTCATCCAGGACATGATGAATTCAAAAAGCGTTCAATACAAAAACAACTGGACTTTATTTGTAACAGAAGACGTTTCGCTCCTCATCCGAGGAGCTTTCTCAATTCAAAGAGCAGAGAGTGAGAGATACAGGTTATAAGGCTGAGTGAGATAAGACACACACACACATAAGACACACACACACACATATGTAGATTGGCAGTTCACACCTAAAAACCTAAAACAGTAGGTCTTTGTTCCTCTAATTCACAGACGAGGCCCCTCTGTTCCCATCAGGTGTGAAAACCGGCTGGGAATCTGTTTTAAAGTTGCATTATATGTTTTTGAAAGTGGGAATCTGAGGCCTCCTCCTCTGTTAAGAGACGGTTTTTCTCTTTTTACATAAATTGCTTCCTTCACCCCCCTCTCAAACCATCTGTGTTCTCAGTCCAAAATGTGCACATTTTGGTCCTCAAAAGAGTGTCCCTTATCTGTGAGATGGAGGTGAACAGCTGAGTCTTGTCCTGTGGAGCTGGCTCTCCTGTGTTGAGTCATGCGTCTGTGAAGAGGCTGTTTAGTTTCTCCAATGTAGAGGTCTGGACAGTCCTCGCTGCACTGGACCGCATACACTACACCACTCTGTTTGTGTATGGGTGTTTTGTCCTTAGGGTGGACCAGCCTCTGTCTGAGAGTCCTGCTGGGTTTGAAATGTACTGGGATCTTGTGTTTGTTGAAGATCCTTCTGAATTTCTCTGATACTCCAGCAACATAAGGGATGACAATGTTTTTACGTCTGTTGTTCTACTTTTTCTGTTTATTGGTGTGTTTTGTAGATTTCCTCGCTGACTTGACAAAAGCCCAGTTAGGATATCCACATGTTTGAAGAGCTTCTTGAACGTGTTTCAGTTCCTTTTCCTTCCCTTCTGTCCTTGTGGGGACGCATTCGGCCCGATGTTGTAAAGTTCTGATGACAGAGAGTTTGTGTTCCAGCGGATGGTGGGAGTCAAACAGAAGATACTGGTCTGTGTGGGTTGGTTTTCTGTACACTTCAATGTTGAGGCTGTCCTCTCTCTCCATCTGAACCAAACAGTCCAAAAAAGGCAGCTTGTTGTCGTTTGCATCCTCTCTGGTGAACTTGATGTTATTATCGACCGAGTTAATGTGTCTGGTGAACGCTTCTATTTCCTTGGCTTGGATTATGACCCAGGTGTCATCCACATAACGGAACCAATGGCTTGGCTTAGTTCCCTCATAGGAGTGTAGGGCTCTCTGTTCCACTTCCTCCATGTAGAGATTGGCAACAATGGGTGACACTGGAGATCCCATGGCACTGCGTGCTTCTGTCTGTAAAAACTGTCATTGAACTTGAAATAAGTGGTGGAGAGGCAGAGGTCCAACAGGGTGCAGATCTGGTCCGGGGTGAAGTTGGTCCTGTTGATTAAGTCCTTGTCTTGTAGAAGTTGTTTTCTGACGGTTTCTACTGCTTCAGAGATGGGTATGCATGTGAAAAGAGAAGTCACATCATACGATACAAGGGTTTCTCCTGGGGTTAGTTTCAAGTGTTGAACTTTGTTAGCAAAATCAATGGAGTTCTTTATGTGATGAGGTGTGTTTCCAACAAGAGGAGCTAAAATA